GTTCCTTTTCAAAAACTTAAATCAACAAAATACTAGGTACAACTATCACTACTAGGTAAAACTAGAAATCATAGGTAGAAAAGGCTATTTCATTCCAATTTATTTCTTCTAAAAACAGTAAATACTTAAAAAGTGTATACGTATGGGGAAGATCTTCATCGCAAATATTCTTGAGTTCCAGAATCCCTTTCCATAATTTTAAGTATAAACAATTGAGAAGAGTAAAAGTTCTTTTAAAAAAGCAAACAATAAAAAATAATAAAATTTAAATATCGTGATATTAACAACATTTGAAAAACTAGTCATTTTCGTTTCCAAGTTATAGAAAACGTATTTAAACGATAAAGGAACTGCAGATTTGAATTTTCCGCATTGCTAACAAAAAACTCCGACAAAATAGTAAGTTACCCTCAGATCTACTGCTACCACTACAAACAAAAGGAGAATTCAACAAAACCTGCGCATAATGAATCAACATTTATGTCCAGATGCAAAACAAGTGACCATCTCAACATTTGCTCTATTTATGTGGAAAACTGGACAAAAACCTGATCAAGATGGGGTCATTGACAAGGTTTGTTAGAAGCAACGTCTCATTTGGTGTCTGATTGTGTTTGCCTGACCCCTTGCGGGGTCGCTTCGAACAGTGGGCTTCCAGTGGGTTCTTTTTAGGGATTTTTGACTCGTCTCTCCCGTACGGGTCTGGGTTGTTGGCGGAAGGGTTAATTTATCTGTGGAGAGAGGGATTGTTTTATTAAGGTTTTGGATGACGGGGGAGGGATGGGGCAGGACTGGGATGGGAGGGGTAGAGTGGGGTGGGAGGGAAGAGATGGGCAAGGATTTAGTCAAAGGAGGCAACGGTGTTTTGTTGTCGACGACATGTACAGCGTGTCAGTCGTTGTCGGTTTAATTTGTCGTTGTTTGTTGTTGCCCTCTGGCTTAGGTGATAGGAGGGGGAATTTGGAGGATGTCTAAGGGGTGCTTTTCCGGGTGGGTTTCTGAGGCTGTGGTGGTGCGGAAGGATTAGGTTTCGGAATTGGGGGTTGTTGATGTATTTTTGGATTAGAGTTATTGCGGAGTTGTGGAAGTGTGTGAGGATATGGGGTATTTTGTTTGGTGTCGTATGGAGTTGTAAATGGTGTACATGGGTGGGCGGAAGATGAGGATTTTATGGTTTTCCACGCGGGTTAGTTTGGTGCGATTGATGTGGGATGTAGCGAACCAAGTGGGATGGGCGTATGTTAGGATGGGACACATATAGGAGTAGTAAGTTTGAATTTTTTTCTTGATGGGTATATTGGGGTTGGTGAGGATGGGATATAAGATATTGGTGATCCTGGTTGCTTTGACGGTAATTTTGTGGATGTGGTGGGACCAAAGAAGGCGGGAGAAGGTTATGTCAGGGGAGGATATTTCTGGTGTCCAGGGGATTGGTTCGTTTCCAATGATTATGGGAGGGGGGTTGGACGAATATGTTTTATTGGAGAACGGGATTGCTTGCGATTTGGATGGCTTTATGATAATGGAGTTTTGGGTGTTAATTGTAGAATTTGTGTTGATAAGAGATTGATTGGTGTTGATTGGTGCTTAAAAGAATTAGTATTTGCACTTCATGTTCTACGATTTGTAATGAGTTTTACAAATGATGAATAAGATGTGTTAATATTGAGAGATATTGAAGTATAGGAATATTATCTCTAAGATTCCGACTGGAAGGACATTTCTGGCATTGTAGAACATGTAATTGTAAGTGTGTGTACTAAGAATGAGGATAGGACAAGGAAGAGGAAGGAATGATTGTGCGCGGTCCGTGGTCCAGTTTTTAGGGGCCCTAACCACAAGTTAAATAATGATATCATAATTTGCGACAATATCTTTTAAAAAGTATAATTAGTGGGGCTACAGAATGTCATAGACTTTACCGTATTAGTTTTCTACTTCCTTTGGTATCGGCTAACTATTCGGACTTGCCACATACTCTTGCCAGCTGCCATGTATCGCCGCCCAAAATACATTTTTTGACATTTTCTTAATTCTTCGGTTTCCTAATAGCAGAATAGAAATATTATTATTAAAGATTATTAAAGAACAGTGAAACTTCGCCCTAAATTACTATTTTCTTCGAAAAATGTAGACTTGTTTTAAAAAAAATTGCTTTCAAGAGCTACTGTAAATTCGGAGTTTGAAGCTTCTTCACAGAAAATGTTTGAGCTTACGAAAAACTTCATTAGATGTCATTTGATGCACATTAGCTTACAAATACAGAAGTGTTTACAATTTGCTGGAAATGTGCAAATTATATTTGTGAAATATCTTAAAAAATAGATTTATGTAATTTTTGAAAAAAAATACCCCAAAATGAACTTAACATCATATTAAAGAGTGCAATTAGCACTATCCTTTCGAAACAGTTTGGAGTCATTTATACAAAAATGGCTTTTGAGCGTTTCTGAAAATGCTGAATTTTGAACCAGTTTTCACAGAAAATTGTGAGTTTTCGACAAAGTGTATAAGACATTATTTAAAGCTAGTAAATATCATAATGAAAAGAAATCGCTGCCATTGTTAATATAAACGACGTGTGAGACAAAAAATTACACTTTTGTAATTTGGAAAAAAGTATAGAGCAACATGACTTCATATCTGTTCGGGTGACGCCACGTCGTTGGCTGAGAGGCCGACGTTTCGTCCGTCATGCGACATGATAGGACCAGACAGCCAAGAAGTCATGAATTCGAGCCGCGGAATCTTATATGTACATTTGAAAAATAGCTATGGGTTTTCCTAGACCCAAAGAAGTTTACAAATTTACGGGACAAAAGAGCACACCTCCTGTGTCAGCTGGCCTTCCTGCTGAGGTGCAGGGATGAAGATATACCGGACGGAAACTTGACACTGGCCACAAGAGCTGTGAAGGTGTGAGACGAGCGCTCTCTTCCTGACAAACTCAAGAAGCTCGAACACACGTTCAGGGCTAGCAGCTATTCCAGCACTGTTATCAAGCGAGCGCTCGCCTGCGATACGGGCCACACCAAAGCGCTTTGTTTCAATCTAAACCACACCTCACATGATATCACTAATCTGCAACTGCCCGGGGGCTGTTTAATGCCGTCCGACCACGCGGACGGCTGATGCGAGGTACGGATTGGCCCACACCGCGAGCGAATCAGAGGGACCCCTCCACCAATGACGGCGCACCTGCCCCACCCGAGCATTTTTTCGGCTTAGCCGAAGGTGTGTGTAGTGTAGCATGCAGCTCGCACGCATGTAGCTATGTGTAAGGGGCTGCTGTGGGTTCGCGTTGGACCTAATCGGCTTTTGTGTTGCACTACGCCCTCAAAATATCAGAGGGGAGTGCTTGACGTCTTTGTTTTATAGTGAGGACGTGTCGAGCTAATTATTTTAGCGTTGCCGGAGCTTCGTTGGTTTGAAAGGTACCACCCAAAAATCCACGCCGGATAGTATATAACACTGGAGGCGTAGCATCGCTGTGTTAGTACGCTGAGAAAGCCTGTGACATGGTAGGAGAAGCGTCGGCCTCTCAGCCAACGACGCGGCGTCACCCGGACAGCTAAGTAGTCTTGAAATAGAGCTACGGAAGCTTACGTGTACAGTGAATGCAATATGGCGTTTATGTCATCTCATAAAGTACATTCAGCATTAACCCTAACCAAAGTTTAAAGAAACAAATTGGAGCTGTTTTTGAGAAAATCTTGTTTTTGTTGTTTTAGAATTCCACATATTTCTCGCATTATTACGCGAAAACTACTAACATTTTCCAACAATGTGCATGACCTTAATGAAAGAACTATGGAAAACAAATTTTATTTGAAGGATAAATCTCTATCTTCAATTTTGTAGTTGTAGGAAAACTCCACAAAAACAAAATTGTGCAATTTTCGAAAATTCGGGGTTAACTGTGAAAATCTGACTTATTGTACACTATTCCTACAAGAATTTAAAGAAAACATTAGGAGCCGTTTTTGAGAAAATGTTGAAAATGTCTTAATGTAAAGTACTCCCAAATTTTGAAGACTTTTTTTAAAAGTGGAGCCAGATCGACCGGGAAAATTCACTCTGAAAAACTCGTACGCATTCACTAGTGATTTTCACACACGGACAGACGATTTGCTCTCAATTGGTTTATCGGTATCAAGGAACCACAAAACATAGATTCTGGCTACACCACCACGAGTTAGAGGATTTGTTTTCTTAACTTAGCAAACGGTTTTATGCACTTTTCGTTACTAGGGCCCGGTAGTGATTTTTTTCTGCCGAAAATCCGCTGGTTTTCGCGCAGCAGTACATACCTTTTCCTATACTACTCCATGTATACGAATGTATACGTGAAAGTAAAAAGAACATAAAACAAACATACACAACTGAAGGCCTCAGGAATGCATAACATATGGTTACAACTCGCCTTTTATCATTTAAATATTTTAATCGGGAACACGTAGGGACACATAGAAACGTACGTACGAATTTATTTTTTTAAGCAAATACATCATTCAACATTTGAGCATCGTGTCACTGTGTTGGGCGTATGAAATATATTCCAACTATATATGTAAACCTGGTGTCATTAAGGAATGTCTATCTAAAGAACGATATCTACAACACCTACTGTCGTATTCTTTTTGATTATAATGTTCCACTGAGTACCAAGTTGAATATACCATGTTATTGAACGTGCAGACATTGTAACATTAAGGTAAAATAAATAATGCTTACTTACAATCCGCAATTATGTGTTCTATCTGCTTGCATACGACTGATGTCAAACTTATAGGCCTGTAATTGTTAACAATCCTGTCACCTCCCTAGTGAATCGGCACTACAACTGCCTCTTTCCAATTTGAGAAATATTTTGTGTGATGTTTTGTAGATGGTATGTTTTTGATAAAACGCTACAAAATTTTATTAGCTTAACTCCACGATCCATCTGATATAGAGGTTAAATTTTCATTGTCATATTTCATAAAAGCTTTTCGTTTTAGGAGAAAACCTGATTACAGTTTGTTCAGACTTATTTTCTGCTGGATCAGAGTCAGTTGGTAACACACTGGGGTTTGCTATGTTATACATGGTTCTGTATCCTGAGATTCAAGAAAAAGTGCATTCCATCATTGATTCTGTGATTGGTAATCATAGAAGACCGACCTTGCAAGACCGGCAGATGTAAGTATATCCTAGATTTATAAGGAACAATAATTCAAAGAAAAAATACCAGAACAAGTAATCAATATATACTTTTGTAGGTTGCCGTATGTAGACGCCGTTCTAATGGAAATTCAACGAAGCAATACCATTGCTCCTTTGACAGTTCCTCACCGAGCTTTACAGGACACTACCTTGAATGGTTACTACATTCCAAAGGCAGAGTATAATTCATATTAATATAATGTATTCATTCACATTCGTGCACATACTCTTTTAATTATATCTGAATGACACTTCATTTGTTTTAATGATTCTTGTATTAAATGTAATTATCAACAATGGATTTATTGCAAAATTGCACTTTATATTCTATTACACTTTCGCAACTGTGAGTTGGCAATTGCAAAATGGGAAACATATTCATGTGATATTGTTAAGCTTGCAACTGTAATCGGGATAAAAATGTAATTGTCACAAGGGCTCTGATGTCTTAAAGGCTATTTTGTGACTTGAGTGTCTCGGTTGCTCAAGGGATTTGAGCAACTACGCTAATAATAAAAAATAACTATAATAATAGTAATAACTACAATAATAATAATAATAATAATAATAATAATAATAATAATAATAATAATAAAAAGAAGAATAACTTTTGCATTGAATTTATTGCCTTGCCTTCAATTTTAGAATTCTCTTTTGAACAGCATTGTTTTAACTCATTCAAATGGCCACGATAAGAGGGTCCCATCTTATTTTGTCTGTTGAAATACTTGGAAATTGATTTCTACCCATGCGATCCATAAGTTCCCGATCTTAGGCGATATGAAAGTCAACGTCGTAAGAGTTTTGACAATTCAATTACTCACAATAAGATCTATTGGTTGCAATATATTGTCCAGCTTGAGTTTTCAATCTGCCCTGACTATGCATTTTAAGAGAAAGAAAGTGGATTGCAAAATGCATTGCTTTTGCACAGTCTGAAGTCTGCAAAGCTCAGTTAAAAGCTGTTCCTAACCAGTGCAGGATTTGGATGAGATACATAGTAAAAACAGAGAGACACTTTCAAAACCCAAATGAAATGAATTTAGTACACCACACTGCCGCCTGAAAGAGACAACAAAATATACTTTAATAGTGAACCTTATGGTGTTTCCAGAGATGACAAAATACACTGGCTCAGTTTATTGAATTGCGTAGTGATGCACTGAGCAGTCCGTGTCTATTGCCGAGAGCTGCGGAATTGTGAAATCCTTAATCAGGTCAAATGCCTTTGTCAATGAAAAATTTGCTTACTCACAAAATGAATTGATATCCGTTGATCCGTGTACTATTTTTTCTTCTGCGTTTCAAACGTGTTCAATATTATCGAACACACAAACACGTCTGTTGATATTATGCTAGATTAGTATGTCTATCTTATTCACTGATTATGTTCTCTATAAACCTCAATTGTCTTTCAATATTGATTTAACGATTTCTTCTTCTTTGTCTTCTCTTGTTTTTCTTGCTATTATTCACATCAGATTAGTTCACACCTTCGTACCTATAGTTTTTCACATTCTAAGTGGGTTTTGGTATTTTTGGTCAATACGTACCTTAAATGAGCATTTTCCTTCTCCATTATTGGACTATTATTTCTTTATTCCAGGTCCGCAACCACTTTCCTTTTTGTTTGTTTCTTTTGTAGCCAATAGTCTATTTTGCTCTTTGTTGTTGTAGTAGTACAGTAAACTTCCTTTTACACGGTATCTGTTTATATTATCTCTCTCTCGCCCTCTCTTTCCCCGTCTATTACTTATACATGAACGAGTATATATTTATGTGCATATACACATTTTCGTACCTAAGTTATACATGGATGTATAAAACACTACTCATCATTATGCAGTGTGAACAGGGGGGAGAGAATGTAAATCATGCAACAAATACATTTTGATGAAATGTTTTCGTTGTTAATAAGTTTAAAACTATAATTGCATAAACAGACATCAGAGGCAAAAACAGGATTTTTAAGAGGCTACAGTTATGGTATTCATCCGACTTGATGTTTTCTTGAAAATAATTTTTAATTTATGCTCAATTAAAATTTTATTTTTATTTGTTGACTTACTGTTAATATTTATAACGTTAACAAGGATGATATTGAATTGCTATTGTATGTTGTTATATTGTCCGAATAATATTTCTGCCTACTTGACATCTGGAGTTGGGGGTAGAACAATGTTGTTACTTACACGGGTGGCAGTAACGTGGTCGTGTGGTCGTTGTCACATCACTCACAACAGTAGCAGATAATCTTCTCCTCCCTACGTCCCATACAGTTTATACTATTTTTTGTCTAAATAAATCTAAATCTAGCAAGAAAAAATCGCTCTAAGAGCATACAACTGTCGACGACACAGAATCGCGTACTTCAGTTTTTAGTTGCTTTGCGGTTTAATTTCATTTGTTTCTAATAAGTATGGTCAACTCTGCTGTGATTTCATCAAAATTTAAAGCCTTCGATTGGAACGGATCCCCCTTTCCCCTGTCAGTCACTAGCTGTCTAGTAGAGAAATATTATTAGGGCAATACGAAATCTGTAAAGGCAGCATTTGTGTGATGTGTCACCGCCCTACGGGGGGGGTGTCTGGATCCCCATTATCCTCTTTCTTGAGTGCGCTACTGACATAAATAATTACGATTGTACTTCTCCTCCAAAAATATTTTACAGTTTTTTGTTTTCAATAAATAAACTTATAATATTTTATTGTCTTGTAACAAAAATATTTGTTTGCTAATTACTTTTTGTTCTAAATTCTTACAGGACACAGTTGCACTTCCAAGCCTTTGGTGTATTCTTCACGACAAGGAACACTGGGGTGATCCACAAATTTTTCGTCCTTCACGTTTTATTGATGATGATGGCAAGCTGATCAAAGACGAGATTTTCATCCCTTTTGGAATAGGCAAACGCCTCTGCCCTGGGGAGGCTCTTGCACGCAACACAATGTTCCTCTTCTTTACTTCTTTAATGCAGGAGTTTTATGTCCAACTGCCCCCAGGCAGTACTAAACCTTCCACTGAAAGTCTGTCTGGCTTTACCACTGCCCCAAAGCCATTTGAAGTAATTTTCAAATCACGGCACAAACTATGACTGCAATAAATAATTTTAGGAGCATGAGTACATGTGAAATGAATAATTTTACGTTGTCAAGCAACATAATGTAACATCCTGTCTATGGAGTGTTTTAAATAAACATTTAAAAAGTAATTACATTTTATACACCAACATAAACTAATCATCAAAGTTACCACACTGGCCTATCAGAAGAGAAGAATTAAAAATAGTAATTAGTTTCTATGCGTTGAGAATTTTTTGTGAAAATGTGTGAAACAAGAATTTAAAAAAAATCATCTCAACTGTCACAAGACATTAAGCTCCTGTTGATTATCGGAAGACCATTACATTGCTAAAAAATAACTTAGAACTTGGTATCTTTGATCTGCACCAGTCGATTATAATTCACAGACCGATTTAATTTGCATAATGAGGTTACAAATAATCAGATGGTTTACAAAAAGTGAGAGAGATTGATTAACAGGAACGAATCCCGCTAGCGTGTTTAGATCAGACGGAAGATCGGGAGAACGAGATCCCATCAACTTTTAAAATAGCCGCACCCTAGAAAGGCGGCTCCTGTCCCCAACTCGTTTGTGGGTCACAAAATAATGACAAAAAGGGAGTATAGATGATGATACTGGCATAAAACGAATTTACACATTTCAAAAACACACTGTAGTGAAATCTGTATTAATCTATCACTGTTGGTTTCATGAACACAAGTGATCTTTCGGAGAGATGGTCGATAAATAGGGGGATCTTTTTTAATGGTCTTTTTAGACCATTAAAAATACCCCATTAATAGGCCGTTAATAAATATAGAATGTTTATAAAAGGTTTTCTTCTATATGAGCAGAAATTAGGAAAAATTAATCATTTTTTCTGAGTTATTTATTTCCTTCCCCTCTTTAGAATTATTTACTATCTTAATGCAATTAAAAACCATCTCCTTCTATGGATTAAAAATAAACGCGCAAATAATTTGCAGTGTTAGTGCGAGTTGTTGTCTACAGATAACGAACCTCGTTTTTCTTATGTAGTCTCTCAATATGATTATATTGAGACTTTATAATTTATTTAGTATTCATGATACATTCTAAGTCTTCAAGCTCAAAACCTCGCCTTTCTCGCTCTTCTTTACACAATTAAAAAAACATCAAGTGATGAGTCTTGGGTGAGCAAAGATTTCCGATTCCGTGCGCAATTCAAACACTTACGTGTTACTAAACAAATCGAAAACCCTGACTTTGATATTAATAATTTACCGCACCGGATGTTCTAGGAAGGAGAGTTAAAAAAGGCTCTGTTACTTCAAAGAATAAAACGTTAGGTCTCTTTCATGTCCGCCGTCTAGAATCTAGTGGAGCTACAACAATACATACTTTCTCGCATTGTGCTGAATTTGCTCTTCAAAACGGGAGGATGGCCTCCCCGCAAGAGTGCCGAAAAGATAAGAGGGCAAAATACAATAAAGTGTACATTGTCGTGAATAAGTTGTGAAATTGTAATTTCTCAAAGGCTGATAGTTTTGTATTTTTATATAAAATACATTTTTGTATATTAGTAAAAGTAAAATATATATTCATTTTTTCATATTAAATAAATAATATAAAATTAGTGAAATTAATTCAATAATATTAAGTATACAAGTTAATTTATTTATGCGCGACCTCGTCAACACCTCGTTAATTTCCTAAGTTCAATGTTAAGTAGCTCACAATATTTACTTAGCTAACTATTATTATGTCTCAGCAGAACATTCCTAATGAAGACTAAGTCCATTTACTATAAATGAACTATCTATCCTTGCATGCGCTGGCATCGACAAACAGATGCATTTTACTTTCCCGTATACACACGCAAATATGTAGTAATATACGAAGAGTAGGAAAAGTTATGTAATGCTGCGGAAAATCGATTTCGAGATTTCGACTGAATAACACGTTTTGGAGTCCCCTGATACCGAAAACGTGGTTCTTTCCAAAACGTTTATTTATCTGTGAACACTACTAGCGCTTAAAAAATATCAACCACCAACAAAACAAAACAAACCCAAATTACCAACAACATAACAACCAACAAACAAACAGAAACTACAACAATTTCAATATTGGTAACTCACTCATACAAAACATCACTGAGTTCATAACTAATCACATCATTAATTTTATAAACTCATTAATTCCAACAATTATACAGAATATCCAACAATAAATTTCTATGACATTTAGTCACACTTATGGATCACCATAGCGATATAATTATATTAAATTGGATGGCCAATGGCATTATCAACAAAAAAGCCGTATTACAACACTTCCTACATGTTAACAGAATTGATATAGCATACATCACAGAAACACATCTCAACCAAGAAACCTCATTCTTTGTTGAGGGATACATAACAATCAAAACAGACAGACAAAACTCGAAAGGTGGAGGAGTATTAATACTAATAAAATGCAGAGTATACAATCACAGATACTCTACACACCCCCCCCGCGCCGACTCTGGAAACATCAGCAATAATGTAATAATAAAAAATTCAAAATTAATAATAATTAATTATAATAACTAATAACAATATATAATAATTATTATATTAATGATAAAAGTAACGAACATAAATAGTAACTGCTTACAAACCTCCAAATCTAAAAATCAATAATACCAACATCTACACATTATTACAACTACCAAACCCATTCGTTATTGCAGGTGATCTGAACTCTAAACACTTCTCATGGGGATGCCGGACTACTAATCCCGGCGGTAAATACTTATACAACATAAAAAGGAACCTGAATCGCAACATATTATCACAAACCGATCCCACTTACTTCCCATATGATCCAAACAAAAGTCCAGACATACTTGACATAGACACAAATATAAAAACTCAATTCATTTCTACAACGTACCATGAACTAGAATCAGACCATTTACCAGTAATAATATCAACGCGCGTAGAAAAGCCTCCCTCAACCCCCCCACCCTCTTTAAATACTTATAACATTAATTGGATGTACTTTAAAGGTTCTATAAATAAATCCATACCTCCTTTTCACAATCTGAACTCTCTCCAAGAAATTAACCAAGCCATCATGACCCGCAACAATATAATAATTAGTAATATTAACAATATATTAACATCATATTGAAAAAAGCTTAGATGTTACTAAAATAATGCAAAAACAGCTCCCAACTAATATAGTTAATTTAATTCGAATAAAAAAAAAACAAGACTTTGGAATTCCCTAAGAATTCCCTCTTTAAAAAAAGAACTACAGTCCCTGGCCATATTATTAGACGCACTCCAAATCTTTAACATAATGTTAAGTTTTAAAGTCTCACTGTAGTACATTACATCTGGCATTGTTGCCAATCAATCAATAAAAACGAAGCTTTTCTAACAATTAACACATTTTTTGTCATTATGTACCATTGTTTAGACACCTCATTGTTGCTTAAAAGCACAAATTACAAGAGTTGAGTAGAACAAGAGGTGACAAGAGTAGTGTATTGTTGCATGAAGATTTATTTTCCATTTATTAGTTTGTGAAATAGTTATAGCCATGTTTATTTAAAAATTGTGAATTATTGTATACGAAAAACTGATAGTTTAGTATAAAAATAATGGGAACGGCAAGTGATTTGTCTCCTCGGAAGATTGCAGCAGTGAAAGCTCTTGACACAAAATTATTTAAATCATGAGATGTCTCGAAGGTTGAACGTTTCCGAGACACCTATTCGGCGAATTAAGAAAAAAATTGTCCTTGGTGAAGAATTATCCCCACGAAGGAAGAACACATGTAGACGGAAGAAAATATTTTCACCAAGATCTGAGAGATGTTTGAGGAAGATTTGTCATGAAAACCGGTTTGCTACTACTAAACAAATTAAATTTAAATTGGAAAGTAGTGGAATCTGTGTATCTGAAAGGACAGTAAGGCGTACACTACTACGAATGAATTTTAAATCTTGTAGACCAGCCCACAAACCCAGATTAACAGGCGGTATGAAAGAAAAACGTCTTGCATGGGTTAAGAACCTTAAGAATAAATATTTGGACTTCTGGAAATCGGTAAAAATTTAGTCTTAGTGTTTTTTTTTATAATCATAAATGGCTACCAAAATTAATTCTAATGTCGTTTACTTGTATTTCAGGTTTGTTTTAGTGACGAATACACTTTCGAAATTCTATCAAACAAACATCAATTTGTGAGAAGGCGCCCTGGTGAAAAGGTTAATTCAGATTGTGTCATCCAGACTGTGAAACATCCAGCAAGGCAATGATTTGGTCAGTGATCAGTGCAGGAAACAGTCCAGGCATGGATTAATATCATGCTAAAAAAAATTAAAGCTCTAAGTGCTGCCAAAGGTGGCCTGACAAACTATTAAAGATATACATGTGCATGGAGATTTTTCATGAAAATTAGTTTATATATTATACTGACAGTCATAATTTTGAATATGATATCTGGTTTGTATCGTAAGTATTCAATGTATTCAATTCACTTATGTATTTCGTTAGAAATAAAAAAATACATTTTTCGTCACAAAAACGTGATTTTTATTGAAAATGTAGGGTGCGTCTAATAATACGCCAGGAACTGTAAATCTGCTAAATAATATTTGTAAAAAGGTTCAAAACGGGTTTTAAACAAACAAGAACAATACAATTCATATATCAATAGCTCAAATACTAAAAACAACGCTATGACAGTTTATTAAGAAACTCTTAAAAAAAATAACAAGCATTTCCCCATTAGCAACTAGTGATGGTAAAAAATACTCCTCAATGGAAAAAGCTGAAGTACTTGCCTCACACTTTGTTGACACTTTCACCCCCCAATAACAGCCCCAAAGATCCGAAACAGGACGAAATTATGACAATGTTCAATGCTCCCCTATATGATGTTCCCCACCAAATACAATTCATATCCCCTAATGAAATAAGAAAAATAATAAAGGATATGCCAAATAAAAAAGCACCAGGCCACGATCGTATCAACACCATCATTCTAAAAAATCTACCGGAGAAAGCCATTGCTTTTCTAAATAACATTTACAACTCTGTATTGAGAACAGGATATTTTCCTCAAACATGGAAACACTCAGTCATTCAGCCAATAGCAAAACCAAACAAGAATCACTCAAAAGCAGAGAATAACAGACCTATCAGCTGCTACCTATAATGTCAAATTTCTTAGAGAAATTAATACTCATCGGATTGAACAAACGTATCCATAAAACAAACAGTATACCACAGCGCCAGTTTGGCTTGAAGTCACAATACTCTACCCACCAACTACTTTTCCTCACGTTGTTCAATTTATACACAGCAGATATTCCTACTTCAGCACATATAAACACCGCTCAATTTGCCGATGACACTGCACTGTATATCTCAGGGAACTGTTTAACAACTCTTCAAACACAGCTTCAGGACCACCGAAATTTACTAGCAAATTGGGATAATGTCTGGAAAATAAAGTTTAACCCAACAAAATCTTTAGCAAAAATATTCACACCCTCTTTCATTCTTCCTAAAAAACGACATCATCAATTGGACACCAACCAATAAAACAATAAAATACTTGGACTTGAACTTCAATACCCGACTCAACTGGAAGCGACATATAGAGGTAAAAACTCAGCAAGCCAAAACCAAACGAATTCACCTCTGACCTTTGCTGAATCAACACAGTCAACTCTCCAAATCCAATGCTCTATTACTCTACAAAACAATAATCCGGCCGTCATTACTCTATGCTTGCCCCATTTGGATCAATGCTGCTAATTCCAACCTAAACAAAACACAAGTTATCCAAAATAAATTTCTAAGATTAATTACAAAAGCACCATGGTACATCAGCAGCAATCAATTACACAATGATTTAAACACAATAAAAAACCAAATAGCCTATCTCTCACAGAACTTTTACACTAACCTTTCCCTAATTCAAGCAACATCTTTCTATAAATTAGGCAAAGCCCGCAATTATCAAACGAGAATTAACAACAGATATCCCCTCCATTCAATTTATAAAATATTCGCAAACTTGGAATAATACTAATCTGAGGTGCTTCCTCTCCCAGTATATTGTTTTACATAATTGTAATGTATAATTTTAAGTTAGTGTAAGATAGGTTAAGATCATCAATCATTTGCACAGTTAATATGTAAACTGAACAATGTAATGTCTACCAAAAAAAAAAAAAAAAAACTACTAGCGCTTAAACCATGTGTAGGATTTTTTCTAACTTGAAGAAACCCCTGTTCACCTGGCTCGAGTCGAAACTTTGAGATTTTGAAAAACATTCTTCAAAATTTGGGAGTACTTTGCATGAAGCCCTCCGGAAATTTTCAAAATGTTCTCAAAAACGGCTCTAATGTTTTTCTTTATATTTCATGTAAGAATAGAATAACACGCTTATAAAAATGACATAGATCCGAGTTTCACGGTTAACTCTGAATTTTTGAAAAATTCAGAAGTATCAATTTTTTTCGGTGTTTTCCTACAACTACAAAATTAAATATAGATATTTTTCCTACAAATAAAATTTGTTCTGTATAGTACGTTTTTACTTTAAGGTAATGTACATTTTCTTGAAGTCATGTACATTTTCTTTTGGTAGCTGTCGCCCAATATAGCGTGCAATATTTTCAATTTTAAAAAATAACAAAAACAAGATTTTCTCAAAATCGTGTCCAAATTTTTTCTTTTAACTTTCGGTAGGGTTATTGCTAAATGCACTCTATAAGATGACAAATGCCATGTTGATCTATTCTTTTGTTTTTGAAAAAATACAAAAATTTAATTTTTTGACTTGTCGCTCACGTCGTTAATATTTACATTGGCAGCAATTTCTGTACATTAATGTTTTTTTCTGTACATGTGCTTTAAATAATGTGAGTCAAAGTTTCCCGAAAACTATTTCCCTGAAAATAAGC